TGTTGGTGATGACAAAGTTGTGTTCCACACATTTGGTGAGAAGCAGGATGCCATTCGAGTTGCTGTTTCCTATGGTCCCTGGCCACAGGTCAAGGTCTCGCCCGACTCTTGCATTGAAGTCCCCCAGGAGGATGATTTTGTCCTCCTTAGGTATCCCCGATAGGACGGTGTCCAGCTGACAGTAAACATTTTCCTTGATATCTTCGTCAGCATCTAGTGTTGGTGCATAGGCACTTATGATGGCTGCCCGTTGGTTTTTGGCAAGATCGATTCGGAGGGTTGAGAGTCGTTCGTTGATGCCAGTGGGTGCTTCGGTCAGATGCTTCACCAGATCATTTCTGATAGCAAAGCCAACTCTGTGCATTATTTGGTCTTCTTCAGGCAGTCCCTTCCAGAAGAAGGTGTAGCCTTCTTTTTCTTCCTTCCGCTGTCCCTCTCCTGATCTCCGGGTCTCCTGAAGGGCTGCTATGTCGATGTTGAAGCATCCCAACTGCCTTGCAATGATGGCAGTTCTGCGTTCGGGGCGTTCACTGTCACTGTTGTCCATCAGTGGCCATACGTTCCATGTACCGAAGTTCATTTTTCTTTTTTGGCTGCAGGGTGGTGACTCCATTGGACGCAGTAGTCCAGTCAGGGATAAGAGAGGCAGACTATGTTTAGGGCACCTTCTCTAGCCCCCTCCTTCCCCGTGTGGGGTGAGCAGAGTGGGTCCTCAAAAGGGCTGCTCAGTTGTGGATACAGCTGTGGATATAGTCGTGGATACTCAACTGCCTCGGACCTTGAGGTAGAACGACTGAGTCCGTACCCACCGCCCATGTGCCAGTCTGTGACTAGGGGCTTCCAGATTTCACAGTCCTGCCCCCGTCGCCACTCGCTGATCGCCATGGGACTTTGGTTGGTTTGTTTTTATTTTCTTTGGAAGACGCCTGTGCGTGAGTTTTTTTGTTAAAGTGTGGAGGTCAGTGCACAACTGATCAACACACAGTCTTCACAGAGTGAGGTTCCACTGGTGGTGTAGTTTAACACAATGACCATGGCTTCTCAGTCTGTTGCAGCCTTCCTCCGCCTTCACACCGTTGTAACATGTACCATGTTATCCTCCGCCTGCTCCGCCGTTGAGGTCTTTGGGTCTTTGGACTGTGCTTGGTCTGGAACTTCCCTCGCGGCCACTCCTGGGAGTGCACGACTCCAGTTGTTGTGCCCGCAGATTCATTGGAACACACAAACCCCCTCACCACGACAAGTACAGAGATATAGAATGCAAAGATACAGAATGGGGGACAATGCCTGGCTAGAGAGCAGTACGTGGAAAAAGATCTTGGACTCCTCGTGGACAACAAGTTAAACATGAGCCAGGAATGTGATGTGNAGGTTCATCGGAACGCGCAAGCCCCCTCACCACGACAAGGTGACAGTCCATCGAGGGGGAATGACTACAGAGGACTGACTGCAACATGGAGAAGGCTATCCAGGTTGACAAGAACAGTCCAGACTGCAACATTTTTTACACGTTCTATGGAGTAAAGTAGTAGTATTGAAACAGGGGGCTATCAAATGGTTGATAGACAGCCACATCAAAAAGAATGTGCTGAGACTCAAGGGCTTGAGCAACCCATGACACACTTCAGTCTTTCATGCTAGAAATACTGATTTCTTTGTTACCTACTTTGTTGAAAGTTGTTAGTCTGCAAAAGTTGTTGCTAACTCCCTTTTGACATTTTCTCTACTATCAGAAATTGAACTCCCCATGCCAGGCATTATGCAGATTTATATTTTCTCCTAGTTAGTGACTCATGTTCATGACTCATAACTTTCCTGTATTTTATTACTCCAAATTGGTGAGATCTCTGTTAGTCAACAACAATAATGGTAGCAGTGACATGATAAGATGGTTAAATGCACCCAAGAGAAACTTTCTGCATTGTTTTTCTGGTTGTCATGTGTTCTCAAGAAGCCACCCTTGCTTACTTGCTATTCAAGAGAGAATTCCTCTATTGCAATCTTGGATTAAAAATGAATAATGTCTGGTTTTCAACTTTGAAGCATGTATCGTGTGGTCTCCATGCACATCTATTTCCCATTTAGAATTATGGCAATTTGCTGAGGATTATGCATTCAAATTACCAATTATTTAATTGCAAGAAGGGAGTAGTTTTATTTCTGTCTATAAATTCTACAAGAATTGGGGATGGGAGAAATCCATCTAACCTTTTTGCTTCAAAGTCCTCACTGGTAATACAGTGTCATCTAACTTATGACTGGCTCTCATTGTGTCACGGCACATGAACAGGTCAAGAGAATTTGTTCCCAGTTCTGCCCATGTTTAATCAGCATCACTGAAGGACAATCACTCTTCCATCTGGCTGAAAATGACTGAGTCAGCTTTTGAACTGTTCATTGACTCCAAAGATGGAATTATTCAATGATTATAACAAATGTCTTGTCACCTTTGATATAGAGAGCTATACATTACCACTGTTACTTCAAAAGTCCAAATTGATGGGACGGTTCTCATTGTTGGCAGATTGGGGTAAGGTAAATGTCTGAGAAGTAAATTGCCTTGATGGAGAGGGTGGTCTGTCGACTCCCTCTAGGACAGCATTTCTCAACCTGCGGGGTCAGGAAATGCTGTCCTAGAGGGTGTCAGAGGGGTCTCCAAAGACCATAAAAAAAACTCAGTATTTTCTGTTGGTCATGAGGGTTCTGTGTGGGAAGTTTGGCCCAATTCTACTGTTGGTGGCGTTCAGAATGCTCTTTGATTGTACGTGAAATCCCGGCAACTACAACTCTCAAATGTCAAGATCTATTTTCCCCAAACTCCACCAGTGTTCACATTTGGGCATATTGAATATCTGTGCCAAGTTTGGTTCAGATCCATCATTGTTTGAATCCTCAGTGCTCTCTGGATGTAGGTGAATTACAATTCCAAAACTCAAAGTCAATGCCCAGCATTTTCTGTTCGTCATGGGTCTACTGTGTGTCATGTTTGGTTCAATTCCATTGTTGGTGGAGTTCTGAATGCTCTTCGATTGTAGGTTAACTATAAATTCCGGCAATTACAATTCCCAAATGGCAAAATTAATACTCCCCCCCCCCCCCACAATCCAGCCAGCATTCAAATTTGGGCATATCAGGTATTTGTGCCAAATTTGGCCCAGTGAATGAAAGTACATCCTKCATATCAGAWATTTACATTACGATTCATAACAATAGCAAAATTAAAATTATGAAGTAGCAACTAAAATAATGTTATGGTTGGGGGTCACCACAACATGAGGAACTGTATTAAGGGGATGCAGCATTGGGAAGACTGAGAATTACTGCTCTAGGACAAAGTTTTTTGTCTGTCCTCACCACACCCAAGGATTTGTAGCTTGTTGCTCAAATGTTTCTTCCATATTTTCCATTTGTCTGACAACAAATTACCTTTACAATTGTCCTAGAATGATTATTATTATTTCAAACACAGCAAGATTAGCACACAGCAAACAAGGTAACTGTGATGGCTGTTGTATTGGATCACACATCGGACACTTCCCAAGTGTCTAGGACCATGCAATGTATTGGCGAATAATGCATGCAGATCCCAGGGTGGCCTTTTGCAGATGACAGATGGTAATTTTGTCAGCGCCGATTGTGTTTAAGTACAGGCCAAGGTCTTTAAGCACTGCACCCAGTGTGCCGATCGCCACTGGGACCAGCTTGACTGGCTTGTGCCAGAGTCTTTGCAGTTTGATCTTTAAATCCTTGTATCATGAAAGCTTTTCCAGTTGTTTCTCTTCAATCCTGATATCGCCTGGGATTGCAACATCGGCGATCCATACTTTGTTTTTTTAACATAATATTAATTTTAACATAAAATAATAATTATTACTATTACTATTATATTTATTTACACCCCACTTTATCTCTCCCGAAGGAGACTCAAAATGGCTTAACAAAAAAACCAATAGCATACAAATAAACCTAGTATAGTGATTATTTCAGTGACTTTGCCATTCTTTGAGATCAATTCAGTAAAACAATTGTTGCAGGCATCTTTTATGGTGTGAACATGAATTTATGTTGAGGTCTGGGACTAGACTTCATGATGACAATAAGATTTCTTACAAAAACACTAGTGTTGTATTAAGTTCTCTTTCTCTTATCTTTGCAATGTGCAGCTGAGCCATGCATGATTTGGCAGTACACTGGGACTTGTCCCTATGAGGTATGGTAGTCTATAATAAGCAGCGCTTTGAGAAACATATAAGATGCAGTACAAATCCCCATACAGTATCTGTGAGATCAATATCCACAAGTTTTACTTCTAAAAAAGTATGGTCTCTCTAGGCATTTTCTCCAGACATTGACTAGAGCCACACTAGATGACAGGGATGCTAGAGTGGTATCCTATCCTCTATGAGCATTTTCTAGGTCCTCCAACACTTCTACTTCCAACAGAAGACTTTTACTATTTTTTACGGGTCCACATTTCTACAGTAAGTTCAGGAATGTATCTCTCATAGATGTGGAGCCAGACTATAATATCACATCATGTCTTTATATTATGTCCATACAAGGTTACAATTTTGGGGTTGAAACCTAGCAATTCCTATTACACTTTGTTTAGGCCCAAGAGCTCCATATATTTTCTGTGCCACATTTTGTGTGATGAGGAGAAATGGTATATCTCAGTAGTTGTTCATGGTGTGTTCAAACAATATGGTGTCCTACGCAGCCCTGTCTAGAAGGTTTTCTGTCTTGCCTTCAGGAAGGAAGGTGTTGAAAGGTGCGGACATCAAGAGATCAGCCCTAGTGTTTGTTCAGACTTGAGTATGAAAAAAAACATTTCTTTTTTGTTCTTATTCCCAAAAGGTATACAAAGGAGAGGAGACAACATTTCAAATCTCAGGCCTTCAAACCAACACAGACTATAGATTCCGCGTGTGTGTTTGCCGCCGGTGCTTGGATACCTCACAAGAACTTAACGGACCTTTCAGCCCATCTGTTGCCTTTATGCTCCAGCGAAGCGAGCTCATGCTTACAGGAGAAATGGGAAGGATAGATGACCCTAAGACGAAAAGTATGATGCCTTCTGATGAACAGTTTGCAGCCCTCCTTGTTCTTGGCTTTGCAACTGTCTCCATATTATTTGCCTTTATACTACAGTATTTGTTTATGAAGTAAAGAGTCCCAACGCAAGCGTTTGAGATATCATTTTTAACTAATGCTACGCATTATAATCCATGAGTTTTATTCAGATATTCCTTTTTAATTTCCTTTTTTCCAGTGGCATTTTCCTGTACATTTTATACATTTTTCCTGATTATTATGGGGTTGGGGTTGGAAAGGGATAGTCCTATTTAGCAAAATAAATATCAATGTTCAGGTGAACCATTTTGAAAATTCAAGACTAGAAAGTGGCCAGAGCTATCCAAGCCAGATACCAAAAGAAAATATATTGCCTTTGATATTGCTTTTTGCTTTTTTTTCTTTTAAATTTTTTAAATCCATTTAGTATTGATTGATTCCTCTCCCAATTCAGAAATGTAATCAGTTTGCCTTCATATTTTTTTGTTGTTGTTGCTAAAATCTTTGCAGTTTTTAAATTGCACAATGGTTACTTTTAGAATATGCTTTTGGATCTTCTGCATCTGCAAGTGTTATCCACCAGTATGTAATTTTGTTGCAGCTAGAATGTGATGTTCGCAATACAAGGTGTAAGATGGACAATAATTATAAACATTATGTAGGATGGTTTGGATGGAATCCTGTATCAGCTAGTTAGTTACTTATATTGAACTAAATAACTTCTCCTGGCTTGGTGGAAAGATCACTAATCCAGACTCCGGTTTCCGGAAGAATGGCTCTCCTGCTTTCTATGCAGTCAGTACCCAATAAAGTATACTTAGGGGAAGGAGTTGTGATTGTGGTTACTAGTGTCACAACCATGACTAAAGGCACATCTACACTGGACATTTAACTCAATGAAAAACCAGCAGTGGAGGAAACTGTTTTGGTGTTTGAAAGCCCTGGAACTCATTTGAGACCTGGATGATATACACTGCAAATGCTGGCCTCGAACCAGCTCCAGGATCTCCAGGATCCATGGCTTCACTGGGGGATTCTGGATTTATTTTTCACCTCCCCTCATTCCATTGTACATGTGCAGATTGTCCTAGCACCTGTCCCTTAATTGTTTTTGCCATGCAGTGTGGTTTACATTAAAACACACTAATGCACATTATGATCTCTGTTGAAGTTTCCCCTAAACCTTATTTGCCCCCTCACTTTGCTTGTGCATACATCATATAACCACCATACAGCATGGTGAATATGAAACCATTACATATGAGTACATCTAAGTAATCATTTTGTATTCACAATCACTAGTTAATTGTAATTATGACACTACTATTGTCATGATCCTACTCTCCCCTCTCCCCTTCATGGAGAGAAGGAGGACCATTCTGCTGGCAAGTGGAGATGAGTGAATTATATTTCCTTCAGAATTGAGGGAAACAAGTCCCCGAGTCAAGTGATTACTTAGGTCATTAACATACTATACTGTTATAACACTATATTCCACGAATATTCTGTGAAATTCTAAGTTTGTAGTCTGACGAGTCACTCAAACTCTCTCACTAAGCATTCTAAATGCCTGTCTCTAAACTGCAAATCTATAGTATGTTGCCATGACAATTAAAGTGGAATATAGTGTGACTACAGCGTAGTGTTATTAGCGCATTACTTAAGATGCTGAAACTAAGTCGCTGATACACAATTTCAGGCTGTATGTTTTTTCCCTCCCCAACTCTCCCCTGTTCGTTATTCTCCATGATAAATAATTTTAAATTCCGCTACATATTCAACTATATATTTAGCACATTACAATCCAAATAATTTTATTCTGCAAGCTGAAGACTTTTTTAAAAATATATATTATTTTCTCTACCCCAACTGTTTGCACAGTATGAACTGCCTGTATAGCAAATCTGATAACTAGATAGCTTTAGAAATGATAAAACATTACAGTTTCTACCATTTTCTTTATTTTATAGTCATAATTTTAAGAGGGCATTGTGCAATAGTTACTCCCATGTCCAGCTGTTCTATTTTTAAAAAGCTGCTTTTAACTTGTTTGTTTGCCTTTGTATATAAACTTACTTTTAATCCAATCACTAGATTTGTTATATTCATCTTGATTTATATGTTTAGAACTGGTGAAAGCTTGCTGCCTTTGCTATTTATATTAATTATTACATTTTTTTGACATAAGTAATCTTTCAGTCAGCCACTTAAGGGGAAGAAAGAAGTGCATTTATATTTCAGCCTTAGGAAAACCAGGAAGAGTTCATTTGAGGCAGGACTAGATGTTGCAGAGGACACGTGGCTGCTACTGACAATAGGGCCACAGCTTGCATCTTCTCCAGAAGTTGGGGGGAGTTGTTATTTTGGAGTATAACTCACAGAGTCTGTTAGTCAACTTGTCTACCATGAATTCGGGGAGCCACAGTCTAAGAAATGAACTTTCCAAGTTCAGCCTTTCTTCTTCTTCACCTGTCCTGCCACACATACCATTACATGTGGCATGGCATCAGTCCATGATAGGCTTTCTAGTCTTACTCATGTTGAGTGTCTGCTACTTATAATACTGGAGATAGGACCTCACTTTATGTGTCCTCTTGTGGTAGACATTACAGATGAAGAGGTGTGAAGCTCAACCATGTGTGTACTCTGTCATTGGCTCCAGTCTGAAGCTGGCATTCTTATCAACAGCTTATATGATCCATTACCAATCCAGTTACAGTATGACCTCTTTATCCACAGATTTGATATGCATAGTTTCACTTACACACACTCCAAAAATGTATTCTTTCCTGGGCCTCTCTAGGTTCTCCAGTGCTTTTTTATGGTGTGGTTCCACCTCAACTATAATCAAATTATAGAGTTCATTATTATCCATGATTTCAAGTATCCGCAGCGGTGTCTTGGGACATATTCCCTATGGATACCGGGGTCGTATTGTACTGTTTTCCCATAAGAATATTGAGTTCATTTTTTTACATCTGTGGCCTAAACATACTTGTTAGTGCAGTCCATTAAAATCCTTGGGATTTTTTTTAAACTTTGATTATTTATAATGTCAACAATGTTCAAGTGCCTCAGGGATATTGATGAGCAGGAGGTGCAAAGAGTGCAACAGACATAGGGCATAGTCCACCAGGAACTTCTTGTTTGTTCGCACTATTGCAGTAAACCAGATCCCTCTGCAACTCCACCTTAATTTCCACAGAGTCTAGATACACAGAGAAACTACCATTGTGCACCTGCTAATAGAGCTGTGCCCACAATGGAGAGGTTCTGGTAAAATTGCGCTCCACACTTGGTATATCCCTGCTTTTTTAAAAAAACACAAAAATAAACATTTTGTATATTTTTGCATTTATTTTTTTCTTTATTTCTTTCTTGTATGGATTTTCTTTGCATCATAGCTCTTCTGTCCTCTGTGTTTGCTATGATACAGTGTCCTGTATGCTACCATATATTCCCATAACCAAAGTAATGGGGCAACCAACATTATTTTTTGTTTTAGGTTTATTTATACTATATACTGCATACTGTACTTTAAATGCCAATTACAGTGCAATTTTATTTATTGTAAAAACAAAAAGGATAAAAAATAAAAAGTGTACTTATGTACTAAATTTCCCCCCCTTCTCTTGTAGCATGTTATATTTCTGTTTGGTTCTGTTTTATACAAGTGTAATTTAGGTAAAATGTTTTTATCCCCAGCTGCATTCCTAGAATTATTAATCTTCTTACAGTTTTCTTGTATGTTTAAAAATGGGAGAGTCTAAATGTATTAACTGCCAAAAAATAAATGCTCTTTTTTTTTAAGAAGAAGAAGAAACAAATCACCCAACATTGGCATCATTCGCCAAGCATTATCCTGGGTTATGCCCATTCAGTCTATGGGTTTTGTCTATCAGTAGAGCTTGTCAACTTGTGCTCTTGACCAACAAGTTTACATGTAGCCAAAAAAAATCATTATCATCTCTTGGAAGAATATTCTAAGATGGGTGAACTATTCTGTGTGCCTCTCTAGATGTAGCAAACTAGTACAAAGTTTCTGTATTGTTACTAATCATCCTTAGATTATAAATATGCACCTCTTTCCTCCTCCCTTTCACTATGGCCGGGCATGGCCTGTCAAATGTTGCTAGTGGTGTCATATTGATGAAACATTGATGATCCAGAACATTAAAGTTTCATAAAGGTTATTTTGGTGGGGGAACATTCATCCAAAAATAGCCGAGTTTATTGTACTTAAATCTCATTGATGAGTGTTTGGGTACAACTCACTCTCTTGCGATCCAGACCAATATGTTTTGAAAGCTGATCACTGCAAAAGCCTCCCAATTTATAGAGATCCTTTCCTGATGAAAACTGCTACTTAACCATTTTTTATTATAAAAATTTAGATGTAGGCATGTCAGGGTGGATTTAGTCTATGTTTACTGATGTTTTGATCCTATGGAAAATACTGTATATACTCTTGTATAAATTGACCTGATATATAAGTTGAGAACACATTTTAGGACCAAAATTGGAAAGGTCAGTTGTTCTAATCTGCACAGCAAGGTGAGCTCCCACCGTTAGCCCCAGCTTCTGCCAACCTAGCAGTTCAAAAACATGCAAATGTGAGATCAATACTTACCATTCAGGCAGGAAGGTAACAACGCTCCATACAGTCATGCCAGCCACATGACCTAGGAGGTGTCTACAGATAACACCGGCTCTTCGGCTTAGAAATGGAGATGAGCACCAACCCTCAGATTCGATTAGACTTAATGTGAAGGGGGAAATTTTGCCTTTCATTTTGTGAATTAGTTGAGGGTCATTTCACAGACAGAGGAAACATCAATGCTGCCTCTGGATCAGCCACCCTTAGCCACCATTGCCATTTCCTATCCAGGCATTTTAAAATGTCAGAAATGGCATCATGGCAAAGAAGGGTTCAGTGCTTCGGTCAGACTCTCCYAGGATGAAAATAGCTTTTGCCTATTGCTACTCTACTCAGAGAASGGGGCAATCCCTTTTTTTTTTTTTTTTTTTTGGCCAGGGTACAGTACTCACACCAACCTCTGGGTTGATGCTYTGAGTAAAATTTCTAGTTTTATACATGAGTATATAARGTAATGGTAATTAKGTTAMGTGTGACTTGCCTTTCCCATTTATTTCAATGGRACTAAAGTGTGATGATRGCAATGCAAKGTTACCATAGCATGGGTGGAGGCTSTGTTGCAGATGCCCACATGTCCTAAACCMTGACTCTTGAAGTTGGGTGGTGAGAATAGCRTATACCCATTCCTGTTTTTTTTCTAAAATGGAAAAATATTAAGTTTGGGAACTTTTGKATAACGAGAGATTCTAGGGTYAAAATGGTGGGTCACCAGGAGGCTTGCAGATTYGCAAATGTTGATGTCAYTGTTGGCAGAGCAATGCCMGTAGAGCAKCCATATTGGGAGAAGAGRGTGTGCCATTCTCCAGCAGAAGGCCTTCCATATCRCTGAACCTCCTTCTCTGTGGTTATCACTTCTCTGCTGGCAGAGAGGAAGGTCCATAGCATTTAGTGTCCCTTCAGGTTTGGAAGAGAACATGTTGTTCCCTTTGAATGAATCAATGGGTCTGAATGGTTAAACTAGAGGAAACCAACCTGTGATCATCCAGATTGTTGGACTGCAGTTCCTATCAGCTCTTTCTTACATTACCAGTGGTAAGAGATGACAGGCCTTACAATTCAACAGCATTTGGAGGGCAAGGTGTTTCCCACTCCTGATTTAAATATATGCAGTAGTTTCATTTGAGATGAAGAGTAAAGTCTGTAACACTTTCTTCTCAAGAAGGTTTTTCAAAATTATTTTATTGTGTTTTCAAAAATCGAGTATTTTTTTTCTTTGCAGTTTAAGAACCAAATGTTCCCTGATGCACTTACCACCACTGTGATTAGATAAAAATATCTCAATATGACATCAATAGTCATCTTGCACACACTGCCATTTTTGATGTAGCTGTTCCCTGGAATTAACTTCTATCACAGCCATAAAATGCAAGTGTTACAATTTCAAACCATTCCTGTTTCTAGTTTCATAAGCGGCAGATCCAAACGTTTTGCTGGTTTTGTTGTATTTCCCTGTATGTCTTTCGTAACCTGATCAAGATCAGCTCTGTACGACCAGCCTTCCCTTCCCCTGCCCTCAATCGTGCGTAGACTATAAAGAAATTGTAAAAATAAAAAAGTAGGGAAATATTTTAAGAAACTATTTAAAAGGAAAAGAAACATTTTTATATTATCTGCCTTCATCCTTTATGAACTTGAAATGTTGTAGTTTTCTAATCCTGTTTTGTCAGCAACAGTAAATCAGTATTCACTGTTATGATGGAAAAGTGCCCTAAACTGAATGTTTCTGAACGTTTTCCTTGCACAATTCTTTAAATTGAAATAAAATGAAATAAAAGGTTGTGTTTTTTCGTTTGCTTGTTTGTTTTACCTCACTTATAGGACATACATTCCAAGCTTTTCAACTTTGAGAGAAATAATCATAAATTTTCTTGTATTGTAAATTTTAACTATTTCATATGCATTCTATTAAAACTGCCATATCAATTTTAATGTATAGTTTTTCCCAAATATTATGCTATGTATGTAACTGTATCTGTAGTGTATATGTAATATATTTATGCCCAATAAATGTTTTAATTCTTTATTGATAGCAAGGTCCCTTTTTGTATGACACGATCTATCCACAGGGGAAAAAAATCTTGCTTTGAGTGCTCTGTGTTACGTAATGCCTACAGAACATCCCTTGTTAGCAGTTGTTATTACTTCTGTTCAGTAATTTCTACAGCAGCCCTGGGAATTGATTCATGTTTCTTGGAAGCATCTACACCCCTGCCCATTCTCTTTGTAAACAAGGTACATGCTGCCCATTCATCTTGTTTTAAAGGAGAATTACGGCTTTCCCACAGGCTACAGGAAGAACAAACCAGGGGAGCTTTCGTGGGACTAATCTGGCCTCTTCCCCATAGAACAGTGGTTCTCAGCCTGTGGGTCCCCAGGTGTTTTGGCCTACAACTCCTGAAAATCCCAGCCAGTTTACCAGCTGTTTGCATTTATGGGAAATAAAGGCCAAAACATCCAGGAACACACAGCTTGAGAACCACTGCCATAGAAGTTGCTTACTTTTGTTCGGTGCCCAACGTAGGCTCCATCCACCTCTATCCATGTTCTGAAATATGATGCTTGTACACTTCCAAAGGTGTTGCAATCAAAATTCTTGTACATTCAGCCCTCCACTGTCTCTGGAATTAGGCGTATGACTATTCAAAATTATTCTTCTGATAAAATTGACAGCAATTTGGCTCCTTGACTCATTTCCTCATACAACTCAAAACATGAGTGATTAACTATGGTGAGTTCTTAGCCATGACTTACAAGTCCCACAACTGTATTTAAAATGAAAGGCTTAAAATGATAAATCCCATTGACTTGCACAATGCCACAATCATGACTATGTAGGGATCATGAATACAGAACAGTTACAGTTAAGTAAATCTAGGTTACTGTCTCATATTCGCAAGTGCTACTTTGTCACAATTGTGAGACTTGCCATGATTGTAGTCTCCCTCCAATACCAGGCATCAGCTGCATGAGAAGAAAGAGATCCATTTTGCTGGTGATAAAAACACACGAGTTATATTTCCACCTGATTTTGGGGAGGGGTGTTGCTGGACTACTTAGTTAAGTACAATAAGCCCTTGGTGTCTGCTGAAATTTGTTTCCAGATTCTCTTGTGGATACCAAAATATATGAATATTTATGTCCCATTGTATACAGAGGCATTATAAAATAGTGTCCCTTATATAAAACAGCAGAACCAAGGGTTGCTTTATTAAAAAATGTTTTCAAACCATGGATGTTTGAATCTGTGGATACAGAGGGCTGAATGTATGCTTAACTATACATATTGGCCAAAATCTTGTGTGTTGGCTAAAACAAGAGTAGATAATACCATTCCCTGATAGACGAAAAGTGCCCAGTATGCCTCTTTTCTATTATTCCCATTCACTCTTTTTCATCCTAGACTTAGTGTGCAAATCTATCAGGATTAATGACATAACATTACTTATGCTTAACTGTGAATCTAAGTGAAACTGATATTCTCCCATTCATGATTTGGTTTCTTTAAAGAATATTAGATTTTGTACAGTTAGGCACAGATTTATTGCCTTTTGTCCAACTACAATGCTCTGTGGCTGTAAATGGTGAGGCATATATGCACCAAAGCATATTTTTTCATAAGCTTATAACCTTTATGATATTTTTCTGCCCTTCCAGATGAAGTTTCCTGATTCCATGAATTAAAAGGAGAATATTCTCCGAAGGATATTTTCTTAGCACTCTGTCAGTAATGACCATACACAGATCTTTATTTGGTTGTTAATTTGGTTTATTAAATTTATATCCTGGCTTTCTGCCTCCTCCCATTGCACTCAAGGTGGCTAACAGATCAAATTAGATCAAAAGCAAATGCTATGAGAACATTAAAAACAGATTCAAAACACATCAATAAAGTGAAACAACATTGCTCAGCCAATCAAAAGCTCCCTCCAACAATAATGATGCTGTTGGGCCAAAGGCCTGTCTGAATAATAATAATAATCAAAAACGGACTTTGCCAACAGAAGAACTACAGGAAGCAAGGAGAATTCCAGAGTCTGAGAGTGGCCCTGGAGAAAGCGATCTCTTATCACAGAATCATAGCATTGGAAGGGACCCAAGGGGCATCAAGCCCAACCCTCTGCCATGCAGGAATACACAATCAAAGCACTGACAGATGGCCATCCAACCTCTATTTAAACACCTCCAGAGAAAGCTCCACCATGCTCTGAGGCAGCATATTCCATGATCAAACAGCTCTTACTGCTTGGAAATTCTTCCTAATGTTTAGGTGGAATTTCTTTTCCTGTAGCTTGGATCTCTTGCTTCATGTCTTAGTTTCTGAAGCAGCAGAAAACTTAAAATGATATCCTATCACATAGTTAAATATGGTGATCACGTCCCCTCTTAACCTTCTGTTCTCCAGGCTAAACATACTCAGCTCAGTGGTTTCCACACTTTTTTACCATTTTGATCCCTGGACATGTTCTCACTTGACAATATCCTTCTTGAATTGTGGTGCCTAGAACCGGACTCAATATTTCAAGTGAGGTCTGACTGAAGCAGAATAGAGTGGTACTGTTATTTTTCTCAATCTGGACACTAACTTCTATTGATGCAGTTTAGAATCACATTAGGGTTTTGTGTGCATGTGAGATTGAGGCAAACTCATGCAAGCTTCAGAAACCCTACTGCTAAACTGCATAGGGCTTTTTTCTGACATGACAAGTGCTTTGAACCATGCCCAGTGAAGGCTCTTAACCAGTGAAGTTGCCATACCAGAGCCATCACCACTTTTCTTTTTAGGCATAATGGAACCACAGATTGTTGCAAAAAGGCATTCACCAGTTCCTTAGGCTGATTTTGTCTGCTAGATAAGGCAAAGCATCAAATAAAACTGTGGTGAGCCTCACTTCTCCAATGACTTTGTCCACATCAGTAAGTTCTATAAATGGTAAAGTATCCATTTTAATTGCATAAACAGAAAGCAGCATTACATCTTCTGGACTAAGAGTGTGGAAAGGTTATTTTTTAGACTGCAACTTCATATCCTCCAACATTTCACAGATGAAATTCAAGCAATCTCAGAGAGTGCTTAAGATGGCAAAAGTTATTAATGTGTAAGAACACATATGCTACTAAAGGTTGCAGCACTTTGCCTTTGTATGACACCACAAAAAAAGGGTAAGATAGTGGTCCCTCTTCTCTTCCAGTGCTGAGTTAACTGAGTGCAAACTACTTTTGGAATTTGATCCCAGTTTGCTGAAACGGAAGTAAACTGAGGGCAAAGGGAGGAGGGGAGGAGGGGAAAGGAGAAACGAGGACATTTTAAAGGCAACTGAAAAAGGAGGAGGAGATTTATCAGGACTACCCTTGCTACATCAGAACAGTTGGAGGGTGTGCAAGGATCCATGCTAACTGAAAGATCCCAGTAAGGTAGTCTAAGTAGCTATTCCAAGCTCTGTCTGGACTTCTACCCATGATTTCATTCACTTCAGAATCTGCTGAATGTTAAACAAATTGATCACAGCTATTCAATGGTTTATACTTGATAGTGGACCATAATGTAATATTCCTTGGACTACTTGAAAGAATTCCACTGGATGATGCTTTACAGATGCAATACTCTCAGAGATGAAAGGTATCTTTAGAAGCATCTACACCAAATTTAAATGGAGCTTCTGGAGAATTCTAGACTGTCAACCAGCTGGACCATTTGTCCCATTCCAAAGATCAATCTGGGCTTCAATAGATAGTGGTGGTGTCGGGAAAATTTGAAGAGCCATCAGAAAACCATCGATATCCATCAGCCACCTTTGCCAAGACATACAAATTAGTCTTCCTGCACTTCCAGGGGCTCTGAGTCCAAGTAAGGCTAGTAATGGTTTCATAACAACTGAAGGACAGAAAGTTCCTCCAGAACCACCTTCCCACATTATAGAAAACCATATTTCAACTGTATCTTCTGGAATGTGGGGAGCCATAGATCTATTGACACAGACCCACAGTTGCTTTCAATGTCATAAAGACCTGAGCAACTACCAACAGGATGGTGTCAAGTATAGATGTAGAAGTCCCTCATGAAAACTACCTGAGGGAATTCTAGCACTTCCCCTATGATCATTCCACTTAGCTGGCAAGATTCACCCTCCTTCCTCATTGGCCATGCTGGTCAGTGCTGATAGGAGTTATTAGACCCAGAACAAAGTTGCTCACTATTGCTGTAATTAGATTTCCAGCTGTGCTCCAGGGACCCACTCAATGGATGGAACCTATGGTTAGGGGCATGGAACCATGAAACATCATTGCAGGGCTGCCTCTCTCAATCTCTTAGTCCCAGCTGACACTACACAGCTGAGACAGCAACTCTTGTTTTCTCCAACCTGAGATGCAAGCTAGATCACCACACTCATGCAACATCAAGTGCTGTTTCCACATTTTCACTGGCAGAGCATTTTTCAGTGACACTTTCATAAACATGCTTGCAACTTTCTATGTTTTCTATTTCCATGCCGTTCTCTGCATTTCAAAACTGCACCTGTCCTGAATCATGAAAAGAAACAGCATAACATCCTTTGAACCTGAACATCTTTTCCATTTTGTTATGGCTTTAGGTGACAATTGTGTCCCATCCACACTGTCATGTTGCAGTGACACTGGACTCTGTCCAAGCACAGGAACCTCCTTCCTTTGTCAACAAGAGTCTTTTCCTTCTTGGCACCTTGATTCCAAAGAGCCTGTAAGCTGCTTTCCGATACTTCTTTGACATGATATTGTACAGGATTGGGTTAATGGCGGCACTCAGGTAGAAGAGGACAAAGGATACCAGGTTGCAGTACTGGCTGATGACAACAATTTCCAAGGATCCAGCTTCAAAGGATTTGGAAAACAGATAACGGCCAATGTGAAAAGGCAACCAGCAGAGTATGAAGGCAAAAACCACCACAGCTAGAAAGAAAGAGAGACAAAGAGGTTAGATATGAGTAACAAAGACATAATGACATTTGCTTATGTTTCACTGCTGGAGGAAGTAAAGACCTGGTGTAAAGTGCTGTACATGGTAGATCTGATATTGTAACTTGCATTAAACCCGATTAAAAGAAGAACCTAGACAGCATTGCCATAGGTAAGGTATACAATTCCAGAACAACTGGTGTATTGTTCAGCTCTAACCCCTGCCACATATTCCACAGAGGTTGAAGCATCATTATTCTCTCAATATTGTGATGCAGCTTTGCCACATGCCTCTTCCTATAGTGTCCCAAACTAAAGATTGCTGTGCTAGAAAAGCAACCCCAGCCAAATCAATCACTGAGCTAAATTTCTGAAGGTTAAAAAAGGTCTTCATCTGTCATCGCCCATACTGGAGCTGCTCCTAGCTAAATTTGTCAAAGTTGCCTGGGGAAGACATTCCATCATCAATGCAGGCGGTGTCTGAAAAAAGACCTCCTGGCCATTAAGGCAACACTAACTCCTTTTGGATACAAAGTACAAACAGAAAATAATATATAGTTAAGATATATTTTGAAATCTCTCTTTCTATTTATTTGAAGTTGAAGACAAATAAAGGATTGGTCATTTCTAGATACTGGCCAAACAATCCCATAACTATCTTTTTGGGGAAATGATTTTAATATATGTCCTCCTTGAATGCACAACCTTCAATCATGAGATGCCCAAGGATTTACAGAGCAACTCTACTGCAGGAGAAAGAAGTGCAACCCAGGCATTTTGAAGATCTGTTCATCAATATATCAGTCAGTTGAGACAGGAACAGACAGATAATAAAGAGTTGGAGAGGTGGGCAGACAGACAAATCACATTCTAACCATAAAGTTTCTGTCTTGATCTGGTTCTGGTGGTCATGCTATTAAGATGAAAATGCATTCCTGAGCATTCACCATTTTTTCTTCCCTTTCTGACATTTCCAGTTTTACTTTACTTCATTACAATGTGGACATGGGGGAAGTTGCCTGTACGAGGACAAACTAACTCCAGGTATAATAAGCAGTCATATAGTAGGCCCTTCAGTTTTATGGTAGGAGCTTTTCCCTAGAAAAAGTTGAAATTTTGAATATAAAGAAAGTTCTTTTTTAAAAAAACTGAGATAACATCTTTCTAGAAATTTCAGCAGAACTCTCTGGTCAATTTCTGCCCGTTATTGACCACTGAATTATGTGAAGGACTTATAAATGGCTAGCGAAATTGACCTAGAGTCATGCTTGAGTCATGTTGGAGAACCTACATGAATAATATTAACCAATTGATGAATAATCAAATCTACAAAAGTTAAATCTGCAGGTGTGGAGGACCAACTGCGCTCAGGAAATAGGGTAGAAGAAGCTGGTTAGATTGTCAGCCATCCACTGGGCTGAAGTATCCAACTCTTTCCACTTCAGAGATGGCAATTGTGTGACCTGTGGAATGTAGGTTGACTAGAAAGCTGTCTATGTGGCTCCCAGTCCTTCCTGAACCTGGGTACGTCTACACTGTAGAATTAATGCAGTTTGAGACCACTTTAACTGTAATGGTTCAATGCTGCAGAATAATGGGAGTTGTAGTTTTACGAGGTCTTTAGCTTTCTCTGCCAAAAAGTGCTGGTACCTCACCAAGCAACAAGACCCATGGTTCCATAGCCATGAGTAATGGCAATCAAAGTGATGTAAAACTGCAGTGTGGCTGCAATCCTTATCTCCCCTTAATTCCCAATAGAATATTGTGCCTCCATCAACCACTAGAGGAAATAATTCTTCTATAAAGCAAACCCTTATTCTTTCTCTTTATGCTTGCCCAGCATTGATTGCTGTCTTTAATTGTTTTCAAAGAAGCATCCCGCGATCTTATTAAATTCTATCTTTTATTATTTACTTCATTTCTACTCCACCTCTCTTGACCCGAGAGGGGACTCAAGGAGACTTACAAATCTGGCAAAAATGCAATGTCACACAGGTAAACAATAAAACACATCTCATAAAAATATAATCTAAGCATATAAGCAATTAAAACTCATAACAATCTATCAAACAGATTAAAACCCAGTCCCACAATGGTAGAAATATGCTTAAATGCCTGAAGCTTTAATATATCTGAAAAAGTGGATTGAGAACCATGAAAGCTCACACTAAAACAAAAATAATCCTTAAAGGTGCTGCTAGATTCCTTTTATTGCTCTCTTGGATATGTTTCCACCTTTGAAAATGTGTTAGACCCCATATGTATGCATGTACAACTGTAGGCATTCATATGCACAGAAACACAGAGTTCATAGGGCAGCATCAATGTGAAGCTACTGCACTGCATTGCAATATTTTTGCAGATTGGAAACTGGAATCTTTCACTTACTACAAGATATTTCATTTATTATATTGTTCTTAAATGATCCCAGGGCATGGTTCTCCACACACTGTCCTCCTTTTGGATGGAATTGATGGCTTGGATGTTTAAACAAGCCTTTGAGAATGTCTAACCCCAATAGTCCACAATTAATGACAGCCCTGCACTTTTGTCCCATTCCCTAGTTCATGAGCTACAACTTACACTATCCCATTCCCCTGCTCCTGGTTACGGCTGGCCATGTTTTACGACAGTTCTCACCATATGTTATTGGGCACTGTTTTAAGTTTAAATAAGTGTTTTATATGCTTGTGGTTTTATCTTTTATTGTATTGTATGTTTATTTTTGTTTTGTTTTGTTCCAGACACATTGTGCTGTATATAAGCCGCTCCAAGTCCCTTCAGGGAGATGGAGGCAGGGTACAAAAATAAGGTGGTTATTATTATTATTATTATTATTATTATTATTATTATTATTATTATTATTATCCTTTCCCCCTGTTATCTTCATAGCCTCTCTACAAAATAGATTATATTGAAATATGGATTATGTCATGGAAAAATGGCTTCAAATTGCAGGAAAGGAGATTCCACCTCAACATTAGTGTTCTGGTACAGCTGTACCAGGAGCTCCAACTTTATTTGCTTTGCATTGAATGTTTGGTTGCAGTCCTATGTTTCAGGACTCTGCAGATAGGTGGCTTCTTTTGGTTGCAGTCATAGGGCAAGTCACCTGTCCATCATCGTTAAGTTTGGTCCCACCCCTTGCTCAGGGCAATTGGGAAGGGAAGGGAGCCATTTTTTTAGTTAGTATCAGCAAGGTTAACTTATGTATAGGATGTGTGTTAACTTCCCCTATACAAAACTTTCAACCCTTAAGATTTTCCAGGGAAGCCTCCCCAAAACTTTAAAGAATTCCGGGGGAGAACAGTTTCAAGAGTCTCCTAAGAATTTCCAGGAAAACAGCCCTAAAGTCCAAAGAACTCCAGCTGGAGAACATCTACTGCCTTACTGGTAGGTTCACTTGGCGTTCGAGACGCAGTTCGACCTGGTAGCAGAGCCCATGTCAGTAAGGGTTAGATTACAGTCAGCCTGGGAGAAGTTAAAAAGGGGATTTTCCTTTAAAGAAGAAGTTATTGAAGACAGTTGCCTGTCCTTTGTGGGCAAGATTAGGAATTCACCAGTTGCCTAAAAGCTTGGAATCATTCGCTTAATTTTACTGAAGACAAGAGAAGTTTCTGTTTGATTGTTCATTTGTTGTACTTCACAAGCCATCTAAAGACTATTTGTGGTGAAACCCTCTGAGAACTTCTCTTTGGGCCCCCTGGCTTCCTGCTGGGCAAAGACTCTAAAGACAATTATTTACAGGCCCAGCACGTGACAGAACAATTAGGAAGAACTTCCTAACTATGAGAGCTGTTCAGCAGTGGAATTCTCTGCCCTGGACTGTGGTGGAGGCTCCTCCTCCGGAGACTTTTAAACAGAGGCTGGATGGCCATCTGTCAGGGGTGCTTTGAATTTAATTTTCCTGCTTCTTGGCAAGGGGTTGGACTGGATGCCCCATGAGGTCCCTTTCAACTCTATGAATCTATGATAGCAAGCAGCCCGCTGTCTCCTAAAAGTTGAATAGAGATTTGAAACTGGATATTCCCAGTTGTAGTCCATTCTTATTCACCACTTGTCTTCTTTTGATCTGTGCACCATCAATTTTGCTACTCCTTTTTACCTTCTGTGACTGCCAGCCTACTTGAAAGAGTAGAAACATGGCACAACCCAATCAAAATCCACAAAAGAAAAACACTAGGAAAGTATAATCTGGAAAACAAGTCACATATTCGAAAAGCAAGCATGAGAATAATCAAAAACGCTATAACATCAGAACAGGATTATAAAAGAATATAGCAATGACTAATGTGTAAAAAGGAATGTTATGTCAGAATCTATAAGACATACATAAAAGAAAGAGAGAAAACTATAATTATAATGTATTGCATAGAAGAGAGAGAAAGACTTGAGTAGAAAATTCTAACTGGGAAAAACTTCAATAAACATGGTAGCAAGGACAGTACAAAGCACAAACCAGTTGATTCTGATCTACAGTCTGTGGAAAGGAGTCATCAATTTAAAACAGGCATGGGCAAACTTGGCCCCTCCAGATGTTTTGGACTTCAACTCCCACAATTCCTAACAGCTGGTCAGTTGTTAAGAATTGTGGGATTTGAAGTCCAAAACCCTGGAGAGGCCAAGTTTGCCCATGCCTGATCTACAAAGATGATTTGGGTCCCATCCTAACTGACTGAAATGCATTGAGTTAACACATCTGATTCCAGTCCACAATCCTTTTAGTGCCATACACATGTGTAATGTAAGATTATGTGAGCTCATGCCTTGTTTTGGGTTATGCCTTTGTAACCCTCCTGCATTACTTTCCAGACTAAGCATGGGCATACTTCGGCCCTCCAGGTATTTTGGACTTCAAGTCCCACAAAAAATCCTACTGGCTGTTAGGAATTGTGGGCATTAAGAGTCCAAAACACTTGGAGGGCCGAAGTTTGCCATGCCTGGTCTAGAACCTTGCTCACCATTCAAAATCTCTTTTCTCTAGTAGTCCTAAA